GAGACCAATAGTACAGAAATGATTGATAGACATTGATGCTCAGTCTTGCCCATCGGTTAATTTACAGGATGAATCACAAGATGAATTACAAGATGAATCGTAGGGATGGATCGCCAGGCGCTTGAAGTCAGGCGATATCTGGTAACTGGCGCGAAGAAGACAGCCAATCAGCGGCTGTAACGGGAGTTTAAGCGCTGATGACTGCTGATGATTGGTTGAAATATTTTTGATCACCAAATATTTTTTTTCAAGTTCGTTATAAAAGTTTTATATTTCTGTATCAGTTTGTAATATTATTGTGACAGTTTAGTGCTAAGTTAGACAAAAATGTTGAGCACAAACTCGCTTAAATAAGGTTAAAATTTTATTTTTTCGAATGTTGTCGGTTAATATTTTTTTCGTTATAGTGATTAAGGATACGTTATATATCTAAATTGACTTAGTTTACGCTATCTTTCTGCTCCTTTGATTATCTAAAAGCGAGGTATACGTGCAAACTGCAGAAAATATACTTACGTTAACATATCTCACTGAAGAAACAATTTAAATATATTAGGCTACAATAAGTTTGGGATTAACTTTGCAAATAAAGTTTGTTCAGGAAAGATGTGTTATCGTGGTCACATCGACCATCTTAAGTTGTTTCCCAAAAATATCTTTCTTGGATCAGCTCGCCGCTTTACGGGACGTCGATCCCAGCACAACAAATGCACTTGACACTGTAACACAGCGTCTTCTAGATGAAGTTCGAAGATTCCCTTGGAACTTCAAGATTCTTCAAGAACTGAAGATTCCCTTCCCTGAAGTTCCCTCCAACAAGTGCCTGGCTGGTGGCGTCCCTGAGGTCAATTAGGCCTCTTTAGGCCTCCCTCTGTGCTTTAAAATGATTAGGAAAAAATCAGGCCCGTTGCTGTAGGCAATATCGTCCAACGCCTAAAGCCTGTGGTGAGAGCAGTTAACCTGGTAGTTACCACAGTGGTCACACCTCGTCAGCCAGGGTCTGTGGTTCCCGAAGGTCGTGTGGTGGCGACACATGCAGCAGACACACACGTTGCCAAGTTCACACACCAGAAGGCACTGGTTAAGCTCGAGTTTAATAATGCCTTCAACCGCGCCAGTAAAGATGCTGTCGTCTCAAGCCTTTCATCGCCATTTATCTCCTCTTTATCGAGTCGTTAAGTCATGTTACAGCGGCGACACAAAGCTTCTCTTTGGGGAAGATGAAATTGATTCGTGTGGTGGCGTCCAACCCGTTCTCGCACTTTCGTATAGTCAATATTGACTTATTAAATACGTGCATATGTGACATACTAATTTATTGTGAATATTTTCATTTACCTTGAAAAGCTTCATAGAAAACACCGACCTTACCTAACCTTCTTAGCATGTTAAGATAAGCATCTTATTGCTTCGTAATTACAATTATTACTTAACCTATTATAGGTATAGGTTAAGTAATAATTGTAATTACGAAGCAATAAGATGCTTATCTTAACATACTAAGAAGGTTAGGTAAGGTCGGTGTTTTCTATGAAGCTTTTCAAGGTAAACTAAAATATTCACAATAAATTAGTATGTCACATATGCACGTATTTAATAAGTCAATATTGACTATACGAAAGTGCGAGAACGGGTTGGAATTCCTTAGCCCTTGCCCTCCCGCCGGTTTTGCTTGACCATTTAGAAATATCACCGGTAGCCTGGCCAGGGAGCTGTATGTCTGGTTCCTTGTTGATGACACAGTCGCTGGAGCCTAAGAGTCTCTCCTGGAGAACTAGAGCAGAATTCAAGAAAGGAGTCAATTTAGCTCTCGCTCTTAGCTTATCCAAGGATGAATAGTCTTATCTACATTTTGCATTGTTGAGTGAGTGAAGGATGTGAGCCTAACACTCGCATGAAGATCCTGTGGATTACACACTCCTGGGATACAAGCGATGAGATCCTAGGTACAAAAATGACCTGGCTAACGAAAATGTCCGATATTATTGACATATTACTTTCTACCCTTCACAAGATGCCAATCCCTTCCTAACTTTCTGAACTGTTTTTCCCATCTCACGGCAACAACAAACTGGGTATGACACTAACTAAATCCATACTAGAAAAAATCATCATTCTTGCTCTTGATTTGCAGTGGAAACAGCTTACAATTCTTGTCAGACTTGGTGTCCGCACAGCCTTTTTGATTGCGTTACCAACGTTTCCTCAGTTGCCTCTCATGACCTTTGAAAAAGAAATCCCAGCGGATGATGCCACAGCCACAGCCCCCTAAACCAGACCCCGACACAACACACACCCCACTGGCGGGGAAAATAGGGGAATGTCTTCCATCATTCCACTGGGAGATGGTCTGTCTCACTGCCGAGCGTGTCCTCCATGCAGGGGACTTTCTTAGCAATATTTATGTAACAGGCGTTCGTCTTGGGCCCCTGATGCCCTTCACACTCCAGTGGTCCTTCGCTTTGGTTCCTCAGTTGACACTGAATGAAAGTGCATTTGCAGTAATGCGGAAGGTAGCCAGTATGGACTGAAAGGTTTACTCTGCAGACGTTCAAAGGGTTGGCGTGCAAGACACGATGCAACTAATGGTATCATTAAGAGGAGGAGCGTTGCCTGGTGCCTAACAAGGGGAGTGCCTTGATCTCTTCAGATACAAACCTCTGGCAGTCCTGTGTGTCGTCCAGATGGCATCACAATACTTCCCCGGCAGGGTGGTGGATACTTGGCATGGATCTACACACCTGGTGTGGGTCAACACCTGGTGTGGGTCTACACACCTGGTGTGGGTCTACACACCTAGTGTGGGTCCACACACCTAGTGTGGGTCTACACACCTGGTGTGGGTCTACACACCTAGTGTGGGTCTACACACCTAGTGTGGGTCTACACACCTGGTGTGGGTCTTCACACCTGTATCCAGCACACCCTGATGCCTGTCTTTTCCCTCAGCGTAGCTCAGAAAGCTGGCGCTACCAACCAAAGGAAAGCAGTTAAATTCAACTAGCGTAGGCAATTGGGCCATCGACACACGAATTGAGTTATTAGGTCATTAATACCGACAATTCGAGGGTAGTCAGCTTCCAGCTTCAGCGCCTCAGTGTGGCGATCCAAAGGGTAAATTCTCGTGCTTTCAATTCCTTCCTGGAATCAGAGGAGCTTGAAGAGATGAACAACCATTAACCATTCACTTTAAAACTAGTCCTTATCCTTTCGCTATGTCAAGTAGCCATGACTATAAAACCTACATTGGCTCCATACATTATACGATCATATTTCATTTTAATATATGTATATGGATACGTCTGTAGAGTTCAACAAAGTCGCCATAACATGTCATATTTCGAGGAGCAAGAGAGGATGTCATCAGATGATGTCATGTCATAAAAATATGATTCAAGTCTATGACTGCCAAGACAGAGCATTCACAAGATAAGGAAGGAGCATGACAAAGTCAACAGCACTTCGCGACAAGAAGCTTCAGTCACCCTTAAATTCAGAAAACGTCATAAGGTGAGAAAACGGTGAGAGATAAAGCCTAAACTTGAGAAAATCAGAAAAGAGTTAATATGTAAAGGATTAGAGCAACGAGGATACTCGTTCCTTTAGACAGGTCACTCCGTTAGACAGGTCACTCCATTAAACAGACCACTCCGTTAGACAGGTCACTCCGTTAGACAGGTCACTCCATTAAACAGACCACTCCGTTAGACAGGTCACTCCGTTAGACAGGTCACTCCATTAAACAGACCACTCCGTTAGACAGACCACTCCGTTAAACAGACCACTCCGTTAAACAGACCACTCCGTTAGACAGACCACTCCGTTAAACAGACCACTCCGTTAAACAGACTACTCTGCTAGAACAGGTAACGGACACGAGGACAGAAACAGTCTCCACGTTACGGTGACGTTACTAACAGGAGTACCGGACTTGACAACAAGGGGTCACACACACAGGCCAGTACGGTCAAGTCGAAGTCATTGCCGTGGGCGCCTCGTTAAGACTGCTCAGGTCGAAGTGGGTCACCAGCCTCGGGGTGAATGGTGATTATCCCTGCAGACGCCGCTCAGAACGACGGTGTTGCAGAGGTCAATATTAGGGTGTTGCAGAGGTCAATATTAGGGTGTTGCAGAGGTCAATACTAGGGTGTTGCAGACAGAGGTCAATACGTGGGTGGTGCAGGCACAGGTCAATACGTGGGTGGTGCAGACAGAGGTCAATACAAGGGTGGTGCAGACAGAGGTCAATACAAGGGTGGTGCAGACACAGGTCAATACGAGGGTGGTGCAGACAGAGGTCAATACGAGGGTGGTGCAGACACAGGTCAATACGAGGGTGGTGCAGACAGAGGTCAATACGAGGGTGGTGCAGACAGAGGTCAATACGTGGGTGGTGCAGGCACAGGTCAATACGTGGGTGGTGCAGACAGAGGTCAATACAAGGGTGGTGCAGACAGAGGTCAATACAAGGGTGGTGCAGACACAGGTCAATACGAGGGTGGTGCAGACAGAGGTCAATACGAGGGTGGTGCAGACACAGGTCAATACGAGGGTGGTGCAGACAGAGGTCAATACGAGGGTGGTGCAGACACAGGTCAATACAAGGGCGGTGCAGACAGAGGTCAATACGTGGGTGGTGCAGACACAGGTCAATACGAGGGCATGGCACCAGCTCCCACTACCAAAATATGTTGCCTCGAATATTTAATTTAATTCCATTAACCGGCACTCCACTCTGTTTGCTTCTTTCATTACGAATATTTAACCGTATAAATTATTTTGTTTACAACACCAACCATTTTATAACTTCAAGACGAATGGAGTTCTTCGAAAACTAAGTCAAAATATTTTTCGTTTGATCCCACTAGTCAAATGAGGACTTTAATGTTAGTCTTTTTGAGGTAAGGTGGAGCGGGAGAGTCCGGGACTTTCGAACTTAGGTTCGGGACGCTCCCTGAAGGTCCGAGAACTCTCCTTACAGGTCCGAGAACTCCGTGCAGAGTCCTTTCTTCAGCAGGCGGAGTTCACAAGCCGGCCACGGCCAGTCCCTTCGATCTGTACCGTGGTACTGAAGGTCTCCGCGTCCACGCATCCATGTCCCGACACGGAGCCGCCCTGGTCGGCGGCCACGGAGCCCCGCCCTGCTGCTGCTGCTGCTGCTGCTGCTGACGATGCTGTGGTGCTCCTGCCGGAGTCTTCACTGGTCGACCGTGACGGGGGCGACTTTCTGACTTTGGTCGCCCCTCTGCGCGGGTCGCCAGTGCTCAGGTCAAACATGGACTGGGAGGTAGTTATCGGCGCCCCATCGGTTGCTGCCTGTTGGGGTCAAAGGTCACCGGCATTAGTTAACAAAGCCGTAGAAGGGAGGGAATAAAATAACATATCTGAATTGCCAATGGATTGTTGAAGGTGGGAAAAAAAACATGGATATAGTCATGCCTTTCTTTGCTAGGACGCACGCACGCGCACACACACACACACACACACACACACACACACACACACACACACACACACACACACACACACACACACACACACACACACACACACACACACACACACACATGGATATCAGTAGTTTCAAAGCGTTATATGACAAAGAGTGTTGGGAAGACGGGACACCACGAGCGTAGCTCTAATCCTGTAACTACACTTAGGTAATTACACACACACACTAACACACACACACTAACACACACACACACACTAACACACACACACTAACACACACATACTAACACACACACACACACACTAACACACACACACACACACACACACACACACACACACACACACACACACACACACACACACACACACACACACACACACACACACACACACACACACACACACATGTTCAAACAGCATTTAAAGCCGTAATGCATACTAAAAACAGGATTGAAGTAAATATATAGAGTATACATATAATACAATCTCAGAGAGGTAATAAAGTGATTATGAGAGAAAGGTGCATGTAACCAGCTCTCCTCTATAATCCACACACCACTGGCACCTTTGTCATCCACAAAACTCAATTTTAACGCCCTTTGCAAGGGGCCCTGAAGGGTCCCTTGCCCTGAAGGGCTCGGAGGACCATCTGGGGAAGCAGTATGAACCCTCCAGGGACCCGAGTTCGTCTGGGGGTGATATAAAGGGCACGATATCAAGGGTCTGTTATCAGGAGGGGAGGGAAGTTATCGAAAGATGCTATAAGGTAAGTGGTCTCTCTCTCTCTCTCTCTCTCTCTCTCTCTCTCTCTCTCTCTCTCTCTCTCTCTCTCTCTCTCTCTCTCTCTCTCTCTCTCTCTCTCTCTCTCTCTCTCTCTCTCTCTCACACAATCTTACCCTCCTGCTCAAGGTTCAACAAAGAGTGTATGACTATTTAAACACCTTCTCTTGTTCAGTATTAAAAATTATGAATCTATTGTGTAGAGAGGGGAGAGGCGGAGAGGGAGAGAAGGGTGAGGAGAAGAGAACGAGAGGAGATACCAAGTGGAGAGGATGCTGTAGAAGAGAAGGATTGTCGGTAAAGATGAGGAGGAGAGAGTTGTTGATAGTGTGAGGAAGTCGTGCTGTCCGCCTTGCTGACTCGTGTGTGAGGTATGATAACAGTCGTGCTGTCCGCCTTGCTGACTCGTGTGAGAGGTATGATAACAGTCGTGCTGTCCGCCTTGCTGACTCGTGTGTGAGGTATGATAACAGTCGTGCTGTCCGCCTTGCTGACTCGTGTGTGAGGTATGATAACAATCGTGCTGTCCGCCTTGCTGACTCGTGTGTGAGGTATGATAACAGTCGTGCTGTCCGCCTTGCTGACTCGTGTGAGAGGTATAATATCAGTCGTGCTGTCCGCCTTGCTGACTCGTGTGTGAGGTATGATAACAGTCGTGCTGTCCGCCTTGCTGACTCGTGTGTGAGGTATGATAACAGTCGTGCTGTCCGCCTTGCTGACTCGTGAGTGAGGTATGATATCAGTCGTGCTGTCCGCCTTCCTGACTCGTGTGTGAGGTATGATAACAGTCGTGCTGTCCGCCTTGCTGACTCGTGTGAGAGGTATGATAACAGTCGTGCTGTCCGCCTTGCTGACTCGTGTGTGAGGTATGATAACAGTCGTGCTGTCCGCCTTGCTGACTCGTGTGAGAGGTATGATAACAGTCGTGCTGTCCGCCTTCCTGACTCGTGTGTGAGGTATGATAACAGTCGTGCTGTCCGCCTTGCTGACTCGTGTGTGAGGTATGATAACAGTCGTGCTGTCCGCCTTGCTGACTCGTGTGTGAGGTATGATAACAGTCGTGCTGTCCGCCTTGCTGACTCGTGTGAGAGGTATGATATCAGTCGTGCTGTCCGCCTTCCTGACTCGTGTGTGAGGTATGATAACAGTCGTGCTGTCCGCCTTGCTGACTCGTGTGAGAGGTATGATAACAGTCGTGCTGTCCGCCTTGCTGACTCGTGTGTGAGGTATGATAACAGTCGTGCTGTCCGCCTTGCTGACTCGTGTGAGAGGTATGATAACAGTCATGCTGTCCGCCTTCCTGACTCGTGTGTGAGGTATGATAACAGTCGTGCTGTCCGCCTTGCTGACTCGTGTGTGAGGTATGATAACAGTCGTGCTGTCCGCCTTGCTGACTCGTGTGAGAGGTATGATAACAGTCGTGCTGTCCGCCTTGCTGACTCGTGTGAGAGGTATGATAACAGTCGTGCTGTCCGCCTTGCTGACTCGTGTGTGAGGTATGATAACAGTCGTGCTGGCTGTCCGCCTTGCTGACTCGTGTGAGAGGTATGATAACAGTCGTGCTGTCCGCCTTGCTGACTCGTGTGAGAGGTATGATAACAGTCGTGCTGTCCGCCTTGCTGACTCGTGTGTGAGGTATGATAACAGTTGTGCTGTCCGCCTTGCTGACTCGTGTGTGAGGTATGATAACAGTCGTGCTGTCCGCCTTGCTGACTCGTGTGAGAGGTATAATATCAGTCGTGCTGTCCGCCTTGCTGACTCGTGTGAGAGGTATGATAACAGTCGTGCTGTCCGCCTTGCTGACTCGTGTGAGAGGTATGATATCAGTCGTGCTGTCCGCCTTGCTGACTCGTGTGAGAGGTATGATAACAGTCGTGCTGTCCGCCTTGCTGACTCGTGTGAGAGGTATGATAACAGTCGTGCTGTCCGCCTTGCTGACTCGTGTGAGAGGTATGATAACAGTCGTGCTGTCCGCCTTGCTGACTCGTGTGAGAGGTATGATAACAGTCGTGCTGTCCGCCTTGCTGACTCGTGTGAGAGGTATGATAACAGTCGTGCTGTCCGCCTTGCTGACTCGTGTGAGAGGTATGATATCAGTCGTGCTGTCCGCCTTGCTGACTCGTGTGAGAGGTATGATAACAGTCGAGCTGTCCGCCTTGCTACCTGCCCCACCTGCTATCATAACAGTCACCAGGGCCAGCTCTGTGAAGGTGTTGTGTTGGTAGCCCGCAGACCCGCACGCCCATCACAGCCTGACTGATCCGGTAACTTCGCCACAAGCTCGTCCAGTTCTCTCCTGAAAGTTCCCACTGTTGTTCCAGCGCCATTTATTATATTTGTTGTTAGCAGATTAAAAAGTTGTGGGCGTGTGGGGTTGACACCGAGTTGTGGGCGTGTGGGGTTGACACCGAGTTGTGGGCGTGTGGGGTTGACACCGGGTTCTGGCGTGTGGGGTTGACACCGAGTTGTGGGCGTGTGGGGTTGACACCGGGTTCTGGCGTCTGGGGTTGACACCGGGTTCTGGCGTCTGGGGTTGACACCGGGTTCTGGCGTCTGGGGTTGACACCGGGTTCTGGCGTGTGGGGTTGACACCGGGTTCTGGCGTGTGGGGTTGACACCGGGTTCTGGCGTGTGGGGTTGACACCGGGTTCTGGCGTGTGGGGTTGACACCGGGTTCTGGCGTGTGGAGTTGACACCGAATTGTGGGCGTGTGGGGTTGACACCGGGTTCTGGCGTGTGGGGTTGACACCGGGTTCTGGCGTGTGGGGTTGACACCGGGTTCTGGCAATAAGTTCAAGGCGTTTCATTGGATTTATTTTGTATTTCCTGTACTGTTGACCAGACCACACACTAGAATGTGAAGGGACGACGACGTTTCGGTGCGTCCTGGACCATTCAAGTCGATGATCCAGGACTTGAATGGTCCAGGACGGACCGAAACGTCGTCGTCCCTTCACCTTCTAGTGTGTGGTCTGGTCATCATACTTTAGCCACGTTATTGTGACTCATCATCTGCACACAGACGTCATGTTATTTTCCTCTGTTCACCGAAGACCTTTTTTATATCTGAAATTTTGCTAGATCTTGCCCCCTGAGGTAGCTTTCATACTTATTTCGATATCGAGAGTCAAGGGTGACCCCCTAAGACTATGGGAGGGGAGTCCCAGAGGGCGTGGGAGAGCAGCGGTGGGAGGACAGTACCTACTTGGATAGGAACACCCACGATACAACACCCAGGGTGTAGTGTACTGAGTTTACTGCCAAACTTTGTAAACTATTAGACAATTTATAATCCACCTCCTGACTCCTCCACACTTTCATTCTATTGCTATAATTTCCATGGTCACTTTTGACCCGGATTGTATAATATCATTTTTCCCCTATAACTGGCAAATTGGGTTATTTTAGCACCTCACACGCCATAACCATAGGTGACTAGTGTGTAGTTGTGTTGCCTTTGCTTTAGTACCTCCCTTGGATAGTGGGGCGATCTCCGTGGCTCTTCACATCAATTTGCATTCTTTTGTATATTGAGGGGGCCTCGTAGCCTAGTGGATAGCGCGCAGGACTCGTAATTCTGTGGCGCGGGTTCGATTCCCGCACGAGGCAGAAACAAATGGGCAAAGTTTCTTTCACCCTGAATGCCTCTGTTACCTAGCAGTAAATAGGTACCTGGGTGTTAGTCAGCTGTCACGGGCTGCTTCCTGGGGATGGAGGCCTGGTCGAGGACCGGGCCGCGGGGACACTAAAGCACCCGAAATCATCTCTAGATAACCTCTAGATAATCTAGATAGCTGAGGTCGACAGTTATATATAGGTAGTTGACGTCGACGCGCCAAACTCAACTATAAACAGACTCTAATATTCTCATTTACTATCAGCCAATATGAATATCAGTAAAGATATTAAATTAACCCTCGTCATGCAATCATCATTATCTTTGCAATCGTATTATTGCTAAATTATCAGGGATCTGTTAGGTAATTATTTGAATAAATATGAGTTAGCAAATGAGCAGGAGTGTGGAGATTATTGCTAAACTCTGCAGGCCAATTATTGCGGGGTTAATGAGACAGCTT